GATTTACAAATAGATAAAGGTATTGACTTTGAACCAAAAGATTGTCTCTTAACGAAACCGAACATGTTACAACCCTTACAAATAAAAGGGGAAGAATTTCAAGGAGCTTATGGATGGGATAAATGCTATTGTATGATAATTGAAGAAACAGAAGATGAAGAAACAGAGGAGTACGAAACAGAAGAGGAAGAAACAGAAATAGTGTGTTATACGAGTAGTGTTGTTGGAAATTATTATTATGACATATATAATAATACACTGCCCACTATTTACGAAGAATCAGGTGAAGAAAATGAATCACAGCCAGAGGAGGAAATCAATTCATCAGATAGTGTAAATGATTCAATTAATTGGCAACAAAAACCAACCCCTCTCCCAGGAGTCAAAAGTAAATTTGATTCTCATGAAAATGAAGAGTTTCCGGTACATGATTAGAAAAAAGAATATGCAAACAAAGATCAACAAATTACAAACACGTCAGCTAATACTAAAGGGTTGCATATGGCTCAGATTGAAAAAATTACAATAATTCCAGAAACTGCTGTGGAATATAGTGTAGAATATAAGAAGATAGAAAGAAAGTCTATAAAAGTACAACAAGAAGGGAAAGTCCTTGTAGCAGATGAGGTTTTAACAGACATTAGAGAATCTAATGAAATAAAAAGAGTGATTTTTGATAATAATAAAGAAGCGTTTTACGATGAAAGAAAAAGAAAAGAGGAGGAAGAACTTTTAGAATTCGAAAGGCTGGAGAAAAAGAAAAAGAATTACAAAAAGAAAGGGCGAAAAAGCAACATTTTTAGAGTTACTTGAAAAAGATAGTGGTGTATCATTGAATGATAGTAGAAATAAAGAAAAGTGTCATAAAGAGAATATAAGTAAAGAAGATGGATATTAACCACAATAATTCTGATACTGATAAAACTAAACAAAAAATATCCGAAAAAGGTATTATAAGTGTAGAATCTAATTCTAATTTAAATAATTTTAGTCAAGAGAAAGGAATATACTATTCTAAGAATCTTAGGTATTTTCAAATTTTTTATTATTTTTTCTTATTAATTTTATGATTTTTGAGATATGTTTTAATAAAAATTTTCAAAAAAACAAAAGAAATCGTCATTAATGTTTTTATTTACAAAATTATAATTTTGTATCGTTTCAGCTTGAAATTTTTGCTTCATTTGATATTATCAGAATCAATATATTATATAATCATAGTTTTATGAATTAAAAATCAATATTTTATATTTTAGATTGTCTTGATACGATAAAATTAAATAAACTTTGTAAAGATTTTTCATGAGAATCCGACTCTAATCAATTAAAATTTTGGTTATAAAAGAATTCGATTGTTATTAAAAACTATTTTTCTTTTTAGATGAATGTCGTTAGGAATCTTCGTTATAAAAGTAATTACCAAAAATTTAGTTTTCTTGTTAACTTCCCCTAGGGTAAGTTATTGTAATGGGCCGAAAATCGGAATTGAAAATTTTTACATTTCTCGACGTTTTGAAGGTTTCTGAACGTTTTGGCATACCTCAGAAAAAATGGATGTGTGTGTGTGTGTGTGTGTGTGTGTGTATGTATGTATGGATACAAATTTCCAGTCACGTTTTAGGGCGCACGGATCAACCGATTTGAATGGTTCAAAAAACATTCGATTCCTATTGATAGGGAAAAGAGCTGATTAGATTCTGGCAAAGGCAGGTCCAGCCGTTTCGGAGATACGGAGCAAAGAGTGCAGAAAATAGAAATCGAATTTTTGAAAGAACGGAGTATCCGATTTGAATGATCTAAAAAACATTCAATTAGTAATGATTGGGAGAAGTGTTTATCAGTTTTTGGCAAAGGCATGCCCAGCCATTTCGAAGATACGGAGCTAAATATGTAAAAAATGGCAGTTTTTGAGAGAACTAAGCGTCCGATTTAAATGATTCAAAGAACTTTCTGCTTGTCTTAACAAAATAATTGATTTTAAATTTTTTTTTTTTTTTTTTTTTTTCTTTTTTTTTTTTTAGTTTTTTGTATATCGAACATATTTCAGATTTTATTCTATTATTTTATATTAGACAATGATACAATATTTATAATAATCTATTTGAAAACATTCAGTATTCAACGGGAAGTTCCAGCAATTTGCCTTAAGGCACGATGCCATAATAGCCTCAAGACAGAATTCCACTTACAGCTAGTTTTACTTTTACATTACATATGAAGTAATTATAAGTATAAGTATTTTACTCATTTTCATATTTATTTTAAACGTCATGCAACATGGGTTTCGTTGAAGTTTGATCTTTGAACTCCCCGAAGAAAATTGTAAGCTACTGTCACACTTGGAATATTCGAATAATTTGAATATTTTTCAGAATGAAACATGTTATTCATAAATCATTTGTGATAGTTGCGCCTTAAGTTGGTGTCTTCGAAAATGGAGACAATGTTATCGCCGAGTTTTGATCATACAAAATGTGGAACGTGTGATAAATTTATAATTATTATAATAAAAGTTAAATACTAATTTACATATGCATGTATGGATACTATACATTTACGGTAATGTCTATATGTGGTTATTTACTGCTTATAATTTGATATTTCTGAAATAAAAGCCGTCGAGTTTCGGCAGCCGTAGTGAGCACATCGTTCAAAATATTTATTTAATAGTATAATTTTGATAGTAGTGAATAGAAGAAATTATAACGGGTTATTATGGATACCGAGCCACCTGACCCGGGTGGCGGTGAGTCACAATCGTTATCAGATGTTGATATAAATACAAGTAGTGAAAGTGAATTGGAGTGGGATAATAATACATATTATGTCACAGAAGGTGACAAAATTCATTGGGTAAATGATACTACTAATATTAGAGATAAATCGGGAATAATTAATAGGAAAGATGGTGAAACATATAGAATTTATAATGAAAATAATGTAATGACTGGTAATAATTCAATAAATGACAGATCGGAAAGTACAAATAAAAAGTTAAAAGCAGATGTAATTGAAGAGGCAAATGCAAATCAAACTAGTGATAATAATTCAGTAGTAAATGAAAACAATGAAAACAATAATAATTGGTATAATATGTGTGTAAAGGACATGGAAACTATTAAAGAAATGAAATTTTATCAAGAAACGGATGAAGGCCCATTCATAGTGCATGCTGAGAGTAAAGATAAAAATATTGGAAGATTTCACCCAATGGCAGTAGGAAGAATCTTTCATAAACATTTAATAAATTTGAGTAAAGATATAGAAGAAATCAGATCAATCGGTAAAAATAAAATAAATATAGTATTGAAAAATTATAAGAGTGCAAATAGAATAATAAGAGAAAATTTATTAGAAATATTTAACATTAATGCATATATACCTAGACACAAATTAATGAGATCGGGAATTATCTTTGAAATTGACCCAGAAATAGATGAAAAAGAAATATTGAGCAGTATTCGAAGTGATTGTGAAGTTTTAGCAATTAAATGTTTAAAGGGTAGAAATAATGAAACAAAAAAGGTTAGATCACAACGAGTCAAAATTGTATTTAGAGGTAATAAATTACCGGAAAGAGTTTATATACATTCAGTGAGTTGTAGGGTTGAACCATTTATTCAGAAAGTAATACAGTGCCACAATTGCTGGAGGTATGGTCACGTACAGGCCCAATGTAAAAGTAAAATACGTTGTAAAAAGTGTGCAGAGGAACATAAAATGGAGGTATGTAAAAGTGAATTAGTGATATGCGGTCTATGTTATCGAAATCATCTAGCGGATGATAAAGGCTGTGAGGTTTACTTAAAAAATAAAAAAATTAAAGAGATTATGGCAATGCAGAATATAACATATTCCGAAACAAGAAAGATAGTGCAAAACAATGGATACGCTGAAGCAGTTGGTAACACCAATCAGTTTAAAACATATGAAAGTAGTTACCCAGAAATCATTAATACCACTGCACGGAATTCAAGTACATCAAGTAGTAATAGGTATCAAATACTATCAAGTTGGAAGGAAAAAGAAGAATATTATGACAAAGAAGTGTTAATGAGAATAAATAAGCCATATAATAGGAATAATATGAGAAATTTTTACAACAGAAATTTTGAACATCGGTCAGGGGTAGATTTAGTAGAAAGAAATGATAGTACTAACTCAAACAGAAGGAATAAAAGAAATGAGATTAGAGAAATATCAACTGCACGGAGGATACAATTGAGAAGTGATATTATGAATATAATTAAAAAACTAGAGGATCAGAGATATGGGATAGATGTAAATAAAGAAGAAAATATGAATTTGATAAAAACAAAATTAGAATTAGTTTTAGAAAGTTTAGGTAAAGGTAGTGGAAAAAAATCATTAGAAATGGTATATTCTGAAGGAATTGATTAATTATTTATTTAGCAAAGATTAATGTGTGAGTATGTAGGTATAAATTTAAAATTTAAAATTTAAAAATTATAAATATATATTGAAAAAGAAATAATAAGAAGATAGTTAAGGTTCTATTGTATTTATTTGTTTATTTGGTTAAGTAATGTTAAATTAATTAATTAATTATTGTTATTATTTTTTATATATAGAAGGATTAAATTATGAGAATAATGCAATGGAATATTAGATCGTTTTATGCAAATAAAGAAAGTTTAGAAGAGTGGTTATATAATAAACAATTAGATATAATAGCATTATCAGAAACCTGGTTCAATAAGAACAGGCAGTATAATCTAAAAAATTATAATTGTATAAGAAAAGATAGGAACGATAATAAAGGAGGGTCGGCATTATTTATAAATAAAAATATAGATAGTAGGGAATATGAAATAAATTTTGAATCAGTCGAAGATAATAATTGTCAAATGTGTGCAGCAGAAGTTAACGTTAATAAGGAAAAAATTTATTTGATATCATTGTATGTTGTTCCAAAAACGAATATTTCAAAAGAGCAATGGAATAGATTATTCTGTAAAATCCCAAAACCTTGTATCATAATGGGAGATTTTAATGTTCACCATTATGCGTGGGGTTGCTCATATAGTGATAGATATGGTAATGAACTATTGGAATCAATTGAAGAAAACAATTTATATTTAGTGAACAATGGAAGTCCGACTCTGGTATTCAAAAATACAAAAACGGTGGTTGATATAACTTTATGTTCATCAGAAATAATAAATAAGATAAAGTGGGAAGTGCAAAAGGAGTCACTGGGATCTGATCATTTTCCAATCCATGTTGAACTTAATGTGAAAAATGACAAATATAAAAATACATCAGTAAGAAAATGGAATTGTAAACGAGCAGACTGGGATAAATATAAATCCGTTATAGAAGAAAAATGCGAAAAGATAGATAATTCTACAACAGAAGTTAGTTATAGTGAATTATTAGATTGGATTGATAGTGCAGCTAACAGCAGTATACAAATTAATAAGGTGAGGAATAAAACCAGAAGACCAATGTGGTTTGATAATGAGTGCTTGGATTTAATTAAAAAACGAAGAGAAATAGAAGCAAAATACAGAAATAATGCGAACTGGGAAAACTTTATGGAATGTAATAGATTCAAGGCAAAAGTAAGAAGAATTTTCAAATTGAAAAAAAGAGAAAGCTGGAATAATTATATAAATAATATAAAACCTAAAACGCCCGCTAGGAAAGTATTCAAAATGGTAAGATCTATGCTAAATATAGGTGAATCGGGAAATGTATCAAAATGTAGTGATGATGTATTAGATGTTCTAGTAGACAAAATAGCACCACCAGGAGTTAGTTACAATATTGATGAAGATTTAAATGGGTATGCGGAAATGGAAAATGATTTATTAAGTAAACCGTTTACAAAATGGGAACTAGAAAAAACCTGGAATAAAAGAACGGATACAGCGCCTGGATTAAATAATATTCAATATTCAATGTTAAGAAACCTTCCAGAGAAAGGTAAACAAATATTACTAAAGATAATTAATAAATATTGGAAGAGGCCTGAATTAATTGATGACTGGCATATTAATAAAGTGATTTTATTAAGAAAACCAAATATAAATAGAAATGAAATAGATGCCTATAGACCAATAACTTTAAGCTCGTGCATAGCCAAGATAAAAGATAGATTGATAAAGAGGAGGCTAGAATGGTGGTTGGAACATAATAAAATATTCCCAAGAACTCAATTTGGTTTCAGAAGAAAACATAGTACAATGGATAATTTAAGTATATTTATTAGTGACATATATTTGGCATTTTCTAGAAATACATATGTTGTAGCACTATTTAGTGATATAAAGGGAGCTTATGACAATGTGATACCTAATATTTTAATGGATAAATTATTAAAGTTAGGTTTGCCATTAATTTTTGTACGAAGTATAATTTATAATGTTTTCCAAAGAAAAATAGTTTTAGAGATGAATGATAGAAAATATGAAAGATACTTATACAAAGGACTTCCGCAAGGGGGTATACTGAGTCCTTTATTATATGCTTTATATGCTTATGATTTAGAAAAAATTTGGGTACCTGGAACAAAGATCTTACAATATGCTGATGATGTTGTGATTTATGTAGAAAGGAAAACATTAAAAGATGCTTTGGAGATTATGACAAACAATATTGATTTATACAATTTATGGTTGAGCAAAAATGGTTTAACATTATCAGAAGAAAAAAGTACGATTGGTATATTCACTAGACATAATAAAAGAAATTTCCCAACAAGCATTCAAACAAAAAATTATAATATAAAAGTTCAAGAAATAAATAAATTTTTAGGAATTTATCTAGATCAAAAGTTGGCATTCAACACACATATAGAAAGTATTGAAAAAAAGACAGAAAAAAGTATAAATATATTAAGAATGTTAAATAAAACTTGGAATGGTTTACATCCAAGTTCAGCATTAAACCTATATAGAGTATTAATTCGACCAAAATTAGATTATGGCTCTTGGATATTTAGTAACAGCAGAAAAATTCAAGATTTAGACAAGATTCAATATCGATGTCTTAGAATATGTATAGGAGCAATGAAGTCAACGCCAACAAATGTATTATTATTGGAAAGTGGAGAAATGCCATTAGAAATAAGACGAAAGCTCTTATGTGATAAATATATTTTGAAAAACATGATAAATAATGAATCTGTGTTGAATTACAAACTGATGGAAATATGGAGATGTATAGATAGGAGCACATATTGGATAAACAAAAAAGTACCAGACATTCTAAGCAGTTTTCAATTTTTAAAGGATTATAGGAAATTTAACGTAGTCCATGGAGTTCATCCATATTATGAAAAATTGTATTATAATAAAAGAACGATTGTAGTCAAAAAAGAGTATAAAAAGTGGATAGAACACGATGGACCTAATAGTATAATTTTATATACGGATGGGTCGAGAAATAATGTTTCACATAAAGTTGGATGTGCAATATGGATTGAAAAGGAAAAAATACCCATATGTTATAAACTCCCGGAGTTTATTTCTATTTATTCGGCAGAACTAATAGCTATTCGTGAAGCTGTTAGAATAGCTAAAATAAATAAGTATAAAAAAACTATGATTTTAACAGATAGTTTAAGTTGTGTAAATAAATTAGAGAAGTTCATGAATACAATAGAATTTGAAGAAAAAATATATTTTGAAATATTGAATGATATAGAGATAATTACAGGGATTGGAAATAACATAAATATTGGATGGGTACAAGGTCATATAGGTGTGGAAGGAAACGAAAAGGCTGATGAACTGGCAAAAACAGCAAGTGTAAGCGGACAAGAATATAATAAATGCTTATATGGTGACATAATTAAGAAAATTAAAATTAAATCAGAGGAGAGATGGAAAGAAGTATGGAGAGAAACATCGCAAAGAAAAGGAAGGCATTACAAATTATATAATGACTGTTTATCGTTTAAACCATGGTTTGAAGAGTTTAAAAATGAAGAAAGAAGTTTTATTGTCACCATCAGTAGGATAAGAACCAAACACGGAAGCTATGCGAAACACTTGCATAGAATAAAAGTGATAAATTCAGATATATGTGAATGTGGAGAGGAAGAAGGTACTCTGGAACATATAATTCTGGAATGTAAAAAGTATGAAGAAAACAGAAAAAGAATGTTAAATTATATATATAGAAATTTAGATATTATCAAACCGTTTAACTTAGATCTATTAATTTGTAATAAGAATAGCTATAGAGTAATATATGAATTTTTAGTTAGATCAAAAATTAAAATATAAATTTGTATATTTAAAATTATATAGAAAATATTTAAGTTAAAATGTATGTTATATGGCTAATTGTATAATAAGAGGAAGCCAATAAAAATAAAAATAAAAAAAAAAAAAAGAAATAAAAGCCTGTTTTGTTCCATAAAAATCAAAAATCAAAATACAACAAAAAGCAACTCACAACAAACAAAAATCAAAAATTTAATCAAAATTAAAGTTTGCTCGTCACTAGAGTCCATTTTGTAGATTTTAGATTGCTATTTATTTTGTTCGTCAGTAGAGTCCTCTTTTTAACTTCCCGTAGGGTAAGTTATTGTAATGGGCCGAAAATCGAAATTGAAAATTTTTGCATTTCTCGACGTTTTGAAGGTTTCTGAACATTTTGGCATACCTCAGAAAAAATGGATGTGTGTGTGTGTGTGATACAAATTTCCAGTCACGTTTTTAAGCGCACGGATTAACCGATTTGAATGGTTCAAAAAACATTCGATTCCTATTGATAAGGAGAAGAGCTGATTAGTTTCTGGCAAAGGCAGGTCCAGCCGTTTCGGAGACACGGAGAAAAGAGTGCAGAAAATAGAAATCGAGTTTTTGAGAGAACGGATCATCCGATTTGTATGATTCAAAAAACATTTAGTTCGTAATGACGGGGAGTCATTATTAGTTTTTGGCAAAGGTAGGCCCAGCGGCTTCGGAGACACAGAGCTAAATACTTCTCTTTAGAAATTATTATTCCATTTAATGATCTTGCAAGATTTAGGATTTACAAATTGTTACTAGTTTTCTGGAACTTCTCCTAATAATCAAAATAATTATTTTTTTAGTATATATTTATATATTATTTTGTAATTACTCTATTTATCTAATATATCTAATTGACTTGGATGATTTTCTATTTTTTTCTGTTCACTCGAATGATTCACTTACCATACGACGAACTTATTTATTCTGGTAGTTCTGGTGAGGAGAATTGTTTCTTGGAAATGTTTAATGTAACGTCATATTTAAATTAATAGGATAAATTGAATAAAAATACCGCATTTAATTGTATTTAAACCATATTATATTTTATCAAATAATATTAACATAAAAGTTATCAAAATCTCGTTTCATGCTCGAAATCTTTTCATTTACAAATTCAGTCAAAGTAATTTGTTTTTTACTAATGTAATTTGTGTAATACAACTCGACAAATTTGCAATATATTTAAAAAATGCATATATATATAAGAATTCTGCAAACAATAACTTCGGTTGATATAAAAAATATCCAAAATAAAATTTAAAATTTATAATTATAAAACCATGCCTATTCAATTGAAAATAAACAAATGAGTTGATGGTAGTTCAAATTTATTTATTTTTTGTATAATTTCTGGCGTGTTTTTTCATTTTAGGTGAAAGTATAGAGTCTTGTTATTATTTTGATAGCACAGTTTAATTTATTTTTATAAAATTACGACACGGCATAATTATTTGGCCTAGAATTTTGTTGGCACCTTCGGAAATCTATGCCTAGAGTCAACAACTCACTCGAATATATTTTTAGTTTGGCTTTGACGAATACTTGAAATAATTCGATGGGACATTTGACTTATTTCTTTTAACATTTCTATAATATGTATACATATAATATGTATATATGCATGTATATATAATTGTATATTTGTGTGTACGTGTAATAATTATCGGTAAGTGTTTAGCCGAGATATTGTGACTTAGATAAACGACACCGTATTTCCTTGTTTTAAAATTGAAGTCATAAGTATTTTATTATGTCAGCTACAAAATGATATATGGACATTGTGAATATTACACACAAACGGACACATTCGCATACATAGATAAAAATACACTATATTTTATATACAAGTGCAAAAAACTTAAAAACGTCATTTTAATTATTTACTACCTTAAATGAATAAACGTATTTATAGCTAGGTATAAGTACAATTTTGCCTTGAAGATTTATTAAAATGCTGTCGATTTATTAAAACTAACCATTCTCGAGTCGACAATAGGTCAAATTTTGTCATACACACATAATTTTTCCAATTTTGTCTCAAACGATTCAAAATGACTTAAAACGCCAAGAAAACATAAAATTAACAAATCAGATTTTGAAATATAGAATTTTTCTCCAAGAAGTTAATTATAATTCAATATAGAAAAAAGAAATTGCACCAAGAACTTTATCTCTCTTTTTTCTTCTCCTCTTTCTCTTTCTCACTCTATTTCTTGCTTTCTCTTTCTCACTCTCTTTCTTGCTTTCTCTCACACTTTCTTTCTTGCTATCTCTTACTCACTTCCTCTTTCTTTCTATAACTCCCTCTCTCTCTCTCTCTCTCCCTCTCTTTCCTACTGGAAGTTAATTATTATTAATCAGGGTACTTAATTTATAATTATTATATAAAGGTAAAAAAACAGTAAAAATGTAATAAGATAGTTTGGATTAAAATGGAGACAAATTTGTAAGATCAATAAAGTAAGAATATTTATAAGATTATTAAAATATTTTGAATTAAGATAAGATCAGATAAAGCAGAAACCAAACTAATCAACTTTTTTTTAAAACTTCCCGTAAGATAAGTTATAGTAATGGACCAAAAATCAAAAATAAAATTTTTTGCATATCTTCACGTTTCAGAGGTTTCTCAACATTTTGGCATACCCCAGAAAAAATTGATGTGTGTTTGTGTGTATGTATGTAATGTATGGATACAATTTTTCGTCCACGTTTTCGGGCGCACGGATCAACCGATTCAATAGTTCAAAAAACATTCGATTTCTATTGATAAGGAGATGTGCTGATTAGTTTCTGACAAAGGCAGGTCCAGCAGTTACGGAGATAAAGAGCAAAAAGTGCAGAAAATAAAAATCGAGTTTTTGAGATATCGGAGAATCCGATTGGAATGATCTAAAAAACATTCCATTAGTAATGATTGAGAGAAGTGGTTATTAGTTTTTGGCAAAGGCAGGCCTAGCCATTTCGGAGATACACGGCTAAATGTGTAAAAAATGATAATTTTTGAGAGAAATAAGCATCCGATTTTAATTTTTCAAAAAAAAAATCTGCTTTTGTTGACATTATGATTATTTTGGGAAAAATATATTTTACTTTAATTTCCAAAAAATTTTGTGAGTATCGAGAATAATTCGGTTTTTCAAAATTTTAATTCCGTACGGGTAGTTCCAGCAATTTGCCTCAAGACAGAAAATGCCATCAATCACCACTAGTTTTATTTTAAATTTCACGCAAACGAAATCTCGAATACAATTAAATTCGGCTACTTGTCAAAAAAACATCAAAATCGGTCCAGCCGTTTCGGAAGTTACTAGCCTAAACTTAGAGATAAAATTTTAAAAATGACAATTTTGTTATAAGTATGCATTTTAGTTATATTCGTAAACATGTATTAAAAAACAACTACTTTAGTATTACAAACATACCCTTTAAATTTTCTTAAGAAAACAATTGTTCTAGGTTCAAATTTAAAAGAAAACATTAAATTTGAAAATAAATAAATAATGAAAAAGATCATGATTTGATCAGTAAAACCATACGAAAAACCCTTTCGCTTAAACTTGTGAATCCAAATGGTAAATTTTAAATGAGACATTTTTCTATAAAAAAAGAAGCTTGATAAAACTTCATTTATATTTAACACGTTCACGCCGGGGCCGATTTTCGTTTGTTTTGTTATGAGGCGGCGCTGAAATGAACATCGCGCTTCATCTGGCGGCGCGTGATTATTTGCTCTGCAGTACAGTGAGATCTTATTGTGCAAGTTTTGTAACTCGTGCCGTTTTTTTCATTCTGACCACAAATTTCCGACAGTAAATATAATTAGAAAGGTGATTAGAATGTTTTTTTAATTTTTACCCTCACAAAAAATGGATAACATGGATATGGAAATAAGTGAATTGCTTGGAATGTTTTAACAAATTACACAAAAAACAATAAATAATGCAGTTATAAATAAAACAATATTAGATCTTATGTTATTTTAACCGTATTTGAATTTTTTGTATAATACTGTATTATTATGTTTGTTATTGAACAAAACTTATAGTTCTGATACATTTTTGATTATAATTATTATTAAAAATAAATGTTTTAATGACAGTTTAGTGTGGGTCACCGGTGACCCGCGCCGCCCGATGAGACAGTTTAGTGTGGGTCACCGGTGACCAGCGCCGGCGCGAACGTGTTAAAAAAAATACTTTCTGGGCTACAATATGACTACAATGCATGAGAACATGAATTTTTATAATAAATGTAGGACATGGTCTAAAAATATTTTACAACACTTCCTTAAATGGTTCCAATTGTTAAAACGAAATCAATCAATTTTATTGTACATCCCCGACATGAGGAAACAATTCCTGTTGTTTATTCCTTGCGTTCCATTAAAGATCCAGAAATAGTTTTAGTAGAAGAACCCGAGCGGAAATTTAAATAGGGCACGTAATAGGGCTGGCCCAAAATTAAGTAGGGTCCCGATCCGGCAGCCCTACTCGGCCCATATGCGTTTGGTAACGCCTTGCCGGATCCGGTTCAAGTACGGCGAACTGTTCCGGCCCCTACTCGGTAACCGTAAATGGTCCCTATAACAATATCGAGCTTGGCCCTTATTTCAAAATTATCATGTGGCCCTGAAAATAATAATTGATATTGCCCAATAAAAAAAATACATATATTAAATTTTTGTATTCATTCTATTGTTGACAATAATAGTAATATTATATATGATAGTTATTATAGAATAAAATGTACAGATATATACACAACTAGCTGTAAGTGGAATTCTGTCTTAAGGCAATTAGGGCATCGTGCCTTAAGGCAAATTGCTGGAACTTCC